CCCACACACCACACACATGTGTCATACATATCCTCCCAGCTTGCAGAGCCTGCTGTCTCTTACCACTTACCTCTATACCATTCAGACAGAGCCCTCCTTCCATCCACACGAAGCGTATTTTGGGGTCACACTCTCTGGGGGCCACACCTGTCTTGCACACAGTGCCCACACACATAGCCCAGCTTTTGTTTGAGAACAACCCACTTCTCTTTAGTATCACCCAAGGTCCAGTCTGGCCTATTCCATTCACATCCCTCAGGGCTTCAAGCTGTCTCTGCAACATTCATTTCATCAGTGGAGTCCTGCCCACTCAACAGGAGAGATAAGAACTGGGCAACCAACTTAGGAGCCCCAAAACCCCAGCCTGCAGGAGGTTTTAGTAGGAGTCATATTATCGAAGGATCAGGTATATCAGCAGAGAGCCATGGGGATTCGTAGGGTTACCCTCCTATGGCTCCTCATCTTGGGACAGAGCCTAGTAAGGACTATATGTTTGGACTCTGTCAGATCATAGCATCTAGTGGGCCTGGAGTCTGAATGAAAGAGGTGCTGGTCCTCAGCCCCCACAGCCCTTATTATCAGGGGACAGAGGCACAATCCTGTGCCCTTTTTCCTAGCAGGTGACAAGTGTCCCATTCTACATCACAAGGACCTTCCAGATACCTAAAACTGTCATGAGCTGGCCCGTAGACCAATTTCCACCTGATGACTACTACCACCCCTGAATAGGGACTTAACTCACATTGCTGTTCAACTGAGACAGACCCGGCTTGTTCCATTAGCCCAAGTTTACTGTTTTCCCCCATCAAACACTGACGAAGACTTTAGACTACTCAGGGACCAAGGAGCAGAAGGAAGAAATGTGTGAGAAGACACTTCTCACAGGCAGAATGCACTTCAACCTCAGGGAGGTGTGCAAGGATATGTGGCTCACTACCACACCAGGTAGATGCTCCCATTGTCTTCCAGAGAGGCAGTGGGTTCCAAGCAGCTGGGGGTGTTAAACAGACCACTCTCATTCTTCATGATGGGATCAGTACTGGTGTCTGTGGAAGTCCGTTGGTATTGGGGACCCTTGTTGGTCAGCTTCTCCCTGAGATGTTACAGGTTTCCAGGCAGAACTCATTGGACTGACACACAGGTGTATGTCTTTACCTTTTCCCATGTTTCCCTCCGGAAATGCTCTGCTGGTTTGCTCATCTGCCAAAGAAAAAGAAGTCACAGTGTTGCACTCAGTGCGAGTTCTCCTTTATCACTCCCACATCAGGCTAACTGGCTTCTCCCACCCCTAAACATTTACATCTCTTCTACCACAGCCAGGCAGGACAGGCAATATCAGCACCCACTCCTTTCAAGGATGTACACTCAGTGGCAGAAATAATGCCTCAACCATGCTAAGCAATAAGCTGAAGGGTTACTGAGATGCCACAGCACACTGGGAATTTCTGGATGGTGGGTATAAACTAGCTGGTCACCAATTTGATATCTGCCCTGTTAGACTTCAGCAAGTGTAAACAAGGTCATTGGAGTCTGGTTCAAGTTTGGCATCTGGCTGGGGGTCCTGGGACCCAGCAGGGTGTTGCCACACGGTGACCTTGATTCTCATGCTAATCTTCAGTTGCACACAACACATTCAGGTTGAAAGGTTCATCACCAACTCCTACTGCAGGTAGGTGTGCCCACAGGAACCTAGGGTCTGCTCACTCTGGATATAATGAGGGAAGATAAAAGCACCTACCAGGAAGTAGTTTTACATAAGAACAGTGAGATTCTCTTGAAAGAGTAGACAAATAAATCAATAGAAATAGACACACACCAATGTGTTCAACTCATCTTTGCCCAAGGAGCCAAGGTGATAACTGAGCAGGAACACCCCAAATCAATCAAGGAATGGTGCTGGGAAATTCAGCGTTCCTATGCAAACAATGCACATGGAATTTGGATACAGACTGATATTCTACAGTGATTAATTCAAAGTGAATCATAGATTTAGATAAACACAGAAGACAATAAAATGTACTAAGCAAATACAGGAGAAAATCCAGTGGCCTTGAATTTGGTGATGCCCTTTTTTTTTTTGGTGATGCACTTTTAAACACAGGGTAAAGGCTGCAGAGGTCGCCTGTGAGAGTGCAAAGCCTGGCATGCGTGAGGCTCTGACTCTAATTGCAGCAGTGCCAAAAGACAAAGTTATGGAGTAAAAAGCCAAAACATGAACCATGAAAGAAAACATGAAAGAAAAAGTAGGGAATTTGAAACTCAGTAAAATTAAGAACTTCAGGGCTGGGGATTTAGCCCAGTGGCATAAGCACCTGCCTGGCAAGCCTGAGGTCATGAGTTCGATCCCTGGTACCTCAAAAAAAATAAATAAATTAAGAACTTCTAGAGGACATGTGGTACTCTAGAGAGGACATTAGTACAAATAGAGAATATTAAGTAAAAGCTAAAAGACTCTTACGGACTTTATTAGATGGGACTCTATCACACAGGTGCATTAAATTAACAAATTGAGCTGTTAATGACAGGTAATGGGGCAGAGACAGTAATATGGGATCCTTCTGCACTATCTTTTTGGTGTTGTTGCTTCGTTAACTTTTTAAGTGTCTTTCATGCTGAGGATTGAACTCAGGACTTGCAGCTTGCTACACAAGTGTTCTACCACTGACCTAAGCCCCCAGGCCCTCTCTGGACAATCTTAAGAATCTTAACTTTTTTAAAAAGCCAGTTATTTCAGGGTTTCTGTAACCTGCAAAATAAATGAACTGTAATTAACATACGTCTGCACCTCCAGTATTAAACAAGGCTAGGGTTGCAGCTCAGCAGCACAAGCACCTGCAAGCGCAAGGTCCTGAGCTTGATGCCTGGTACAAAAACATAATAGAGCCCCAAAATTCAACACTCTATGATGGAGGGTTTGAAATGCTACTTTCCTGCTATATGGTCACCTTTAGGTCCCTCTAACATCCACATGGCCTCCCAGAGATCTTACTATTTCTGAATTGAGCTATGTAGTGATACATCTGTTAAAAAAAATAACAAAGAAAACCCCATGAAAACAGCTCTCCTATGAAGAATTCCAAATAAATCATGGAGCTACTGCCTCCCATAGGGAAAGGTGTGCACCTACTACAGTGGGGTAACACACAGTGACTTCCTCTCAAGGACCAGAGCACAGAAGCCTAGAGCAAGAGTAACTTAACAGTGAAGCAGCCAGGCACACAGGACTGCACCCAGGAGGTCAAGGGCGACATGGAGAGTCATGAATTATGTGACTGGACAAGGGCTGCAAACTCCCTTTACCCATGGTCACCATCCCAAATCCAAACTCCAGTCACATCATAAGTGCAGCAAACAAACTCCAAGAGAGTGGATCCTACAACAGCTCGACCACTGTTGCTCAAAATTGTCAAGGACATCAAAATCCAGGGAAGTCTAGAAACGTTCACAGCCGAAAAGAGACACGCAAATTAAAAGTGTATGGTGTTCTACGTGAGATCCAGGAACACAAAAAGCATACTAAGTAAAAACTCAGGAAATCTGAATAAATTACAGACCCTGATTAACAGGAACTTACTGATATTGGTTTGCTAATTAAATGAAAGTCACCATACTGAGGCAAGCTGGTAATGGTATGATAAATTCTGCACAGTGGTAGGAATAATATGAGAACCCACTGGGATGTCTTGTAAGTCTGTTCATTTCTTTTTTAAAAGCACTGCTATTTCAGGCTTTCTGCAAGTTGCACAATCAATGAATTTTTACAAGTATAAAATGCTGCACACCTAGTATTACTTAGACACAAAGTGAACAAACAACACATACACTGAAGGGGGTTTGAAAATGCTGCTCATTTGTTAGGATCTGTGTCTCCCTAAAATTTCTATGCCCTCTCCAGAGTTCCTGGTACCACTGAGTGTGAAGATTTAAACACATATTCTTATAGACATAATTACATTAAAAACAGATTGTCAGGGTAGGTCCTAATTGATGTTAACTGGTGCCTCTCCAAGAAAACATTTAGGACGAACAGAGAAAAATGACCATGACAGAGAACAGGGAGGCCAAGAAGAGAGGACTCTGGGGAAATCAGCCCCGCTGACATCTCACCTCAGACTTCTAGAATCCAGAACTATAAGAAAATAAATATCCGTGGTTATGCCACAGACTAAAAGCTACAACGCTCAACCACATGTCAGATGCTTTTATAAAAGTGGAAAGAGCAGCTCAAATAGCTTTTGGGGGAATGTTTTAAGCCTTGACTGAGAACCTCCCTACAGTACAACAGGCAAACAGCTGGATATTTTCACCTATACCAGGGAATCACTGTAACTCAGTGATGTATTTGCTATTTTTCTATCTCTTTATTGGTTATACAGTTTTGCTTTGTTTTGAAAGAGCATCTATCTGAGCTGCCTAGGATCTCTGCACCCTTGAGATCTTCCACCTTGGCCTCCCAGGTCACTGGCATTTACAGACATGCACCACAATACCTTACATCTTATTATGGGGCAGGTAGGAGCTTTTAGCCCATTTTATACAGTGGAATATTCAGGTTTCAAGAAACTAAATGACTGGCCACAGTCACAGGTTTGAAACAGCAACACTGGGATAGAATTGAGGTCAGTTAGGCCAAGGCCCAGACCTCCCCAGTTACTCATTGCCCTGTGGTTTCCATAGTGACACTGACTGGACTCACGCTGGAGGGAATTAGCTACCAACTGCTAGCACTGTCACTTACAGAACACTGATGAGGACTGGGTTCTGGGCTGAGCTGCTCACCCGTGGTCCCCCAATCTCACCAATGACCAACTTCGGTAGAGCACTGAAGTTCAGACTGACTAATGACTTGCCCAGAGCTATCTAAGGGTGTATAGAAGCCCAGGACGGGAGCTCATGTCTGGGATAGACCCACACGCTACCCTCTGCCCCACACATCCAACTGCATCCCACCCCAGGACCCAGCACAGTGTGACTGCAGGCCTCTGCCCTCAGGCACTCACCCAGGACTTCCAGCAAGATGCTGTCATGTTCCATGGCAGGGGTGTCCACCACCTCGCACCAGTATACTCCTGCATCCCCCAGCTGGACCGCAGGCAGCTGCAGTGAGGCGTCGCCACTCTGTAGCCTCTCTAGAGACACTTCAGCCCCAGTTCTGGGAATGTTTTTATTAATGCCAAATACCTCGAACACCGTGATCTTCAATCCAGACTTAGGATCTATGCGAAACCACCTAATAGCCATAACACTTAGGTCCAGCCTTGCGAAGCCAGAGAAATTGCAGGGGATGGTGACATTGTCATTCAGGCGTGCGCTCAGTTTCCTTAGTGGCACCTCCACTCTCAGAGAACCTGTGACAAAAGCACACTTGGTTTTGGGCATCCTTGGTATCTCAAATTCCACCAAGTAATAAATTCCTTTTGGGGTAACCGTGAGGACTCAGGGCACAGCCTCTCAGTTCACGGCCCTCATACATCCATTAAGATCCCTCTTTCTTCTTTTTCAAGATTACTTTGGCAATTTGGATTGATACAATTCCACAGGAATTTCAGAACCAGCTTACCACCTTCTACCAAGTGACCAGCTGAGAGTCTGCTAGAAATTTCACTCCATCTGCTGACTGATGTGGGAGTACCACTATCATCCACGCATGGGTGTGTGGCACGTGCTATGGACTCAATGTCTCTGTCCTCCCAGAATGTGACTATGGAGTCCTACTCCACAGGGCAATGGTGTTTGGAGGCAGTGCCTCTGAGAAGTGACCAGGACCTAAGGGCGAACCCAAGGAATGGCATTACTGCCCTTCTAACAGGAGAGTGGGACAGATCTCTCACTCTGCCTGGAAGACACACCAGAGGCGTCCTGTAAACCAGCAATCAGGCCTTCAGCAGAGACTCCCTCAGCCAGCACCTTCCTCTCAGGCTTCCCGGCCTCCACCATGGTGAGAAGTCAATCTGGGGAAGCCACCTGATCTGTGGCATTTGTTAGGCTGGCCTGACAGACAGAAAGACAGCCCAAATTTTCTCTTCATATATTTCAATCTTGTTAAATTTCCCTGGACAATGTTTACAGGTTTCAGAGTGCTGTTACAGGTCACTCACTGACAGGGACATGGGAACTCTCATCAGCCACACTCACCATCTGTGGGCATCACTGAGTGAACCTCACACAAACCTAAATGAATGGGCAGCCACTCACTGTGATCCTACTGAGTTCAAAACATGGTGACAAAGCTCACCAAGCTACTGCCCACCTGGCATTTTATGGGACACCTTTAAAAAAAATACAAATACTCTAAAGTGATTTATTAGGAATTGCATAGCAAACATAACTCAGTGTCATCCATTGTCATTTTTACATCTACACATAACTGTGTGTGCTGTATTTTCACACAACTAGCAGCACAGGAGTTTTGTTTGCATCCCTGTGAGCACAAACGCATGAGCTGTGTGCGGCATTACACCTTTACAGCGGCTTTGCCAGCTGCTGAGGGGAATCTTTTCCTTGTGATCAGACTGGCAGAGAGCTCACTCTGTAGCCTCCTGCCTTTGCCTCCTTAGTGCTGGATAAAAGGCTGCACCCAGAAATCTGCATTATAATCTTATGAGACCACAATCGTGTATGCAATTCTTCACTGACCAAAACATCACTATGAGTTGCGCTGTTTCTCCTATTAAATTTTGTTCATAACCAAATTTGTTCCTTTTGGTGCTACTATAAAAAAGAGTTTTGCTCAATATTATTCTCAGATTATTTACTGCACATGTATGGAAATACCATTCATTCTTCGTATTCTCATTTCCTTTCCCCATCAGCAAACCATCCTAAGTCCTTTCATGTCTACAACTGTTCTGCTTTGTAAAACTGTGTTGCTTGGCTGCTGTTCATGGAAATGGCATATACCCATGCATTCAGTGCACATGTGGCTTTGGGTGTATGGTGTTTGGGTCTCATTATTTCCCTTCATTCAACGTTATTCCACAGGCTGTGCACACAAGTACTCCACTGCCAGCAGCTGCTGCCCAGTTCTCCAAGGTGAGTAACTCCTTCTGGCTCCCAGCACCCCACACACCAGCACCCACATTCATAAAGTCTCAACCCCAACACACACAGAAGCCACCCACTCCATCACAGGCCCATCTGGGCCTGTCTAATATGTGTTAAAGAATTTCTCATTGCTGGTTTAATTTCTGGCCTTCAAGTTTGTAAAGAGTGAGGTCGAACATCTCACTGCCAGAATTTCAGCCACTGAGCTTCCTGATGGAAAATGGGGCATCCTAGCCTGTTTCAGCCACTCAGGTTCCTGTGCTCAGGTCTGCTGCCTGCTGGCCAAGTCTAAGGAGGCCATTTATGTTGGTGGGGAAAAAAAACTTTATAGCTTGCTCAGAGAACATGGAGGGGACTCCTCTACTTCAAGTCACCATCTCACTGAGTCCTGTTGTAAGGGAATTTTACAAGAAGGGATAGAACGGAGAAGGATAAAATGAGTAAAGAGGTGCCTCCAGGCTTGCTTCATCTCTTCTGGGCCAGAATCTACTTTTTTTTTTTTTTTTTTTTGGTCTTTTTGAGATAAAGTTTTGCTATGCAGTTCAGGGTGTCTCTGAACTCACACTTTAGCCCAGACTGGCTTGGAACTCACAGCACTCCTTCTGCCTCAGCCTTCTGAGTGCTGGGATTACACGTATTTGACACCTGTATATTTAGTTCATCTAGACTATACATGAGTGGTAGTGGGTGTGGTGGGAAATAGGGGGCAGGTAGGAAGTGAGGCTTAGGAGGATGATGATGGTGAATCAAGGCATGAATGTGGAGTAGGTGGGCACAGAAGGTGGGAATGGGTGTGGGGCATGGGGATGGGAGCAGAGGCTGGGGGCAGAGGTGGGGAATAGTGATTGGTCAGGCTGTGAGGTGGGGTACAAGAGAAGGGAATGGGCTGGTGTGGGAGTGTAGAATAGTGGATGGTGGTGGGGGTACGGCTGGGAGTGAGATGTTGGGGGGCAGAAGATGGGAATGGGTGAGTTTGGTGAAGACTGGAGGTAGGGAGTGGGTGGGCTTAGGGTGGTGGAAGAGAGGACATGGGGTTGGTTAGGTGGGAGCCTGGAATGGCGCAGCAGGGGGGTGATGTGATTGTCAGGGGTAGGCTGGTGAGAGGTCTGCGGGCATGGGGGGTGTGCTCCCTAAGAGTGGACTGGAATGTGGGGGTTGAAGAGTAGGGTAGGGCATTGCTAAAGAAGAGTTTTTTACAAAGGTTGGATAGGTGATATAGGGGCAGTTGGGAACTTCTCCCCTCCCCTACAAAAGTTGCTAAGTGCTCCAGGCAAAAACAGTCTTTACCCAATCACAGGTGCTTCCCAGATGTTTCTCCCATATTCTCCAACGTTTATGTATACCCTAAGCTTTCACTGTGATTTCTCTCTGGGAAACCTCAGTCTACTCAGGCCACAATAAATGCTTCTCTCTTTCCTATGTTCCTACATGTTGGCAAACTCCCTTTTAGTGCCTTTGCCACATGAGCGCCCCACCCCACTGAAGGGTGTTTTATCTCAAAACATCAAACAAAACCAACAACAATAAAAATCACAAAACTTATAATCTAATTGCATTGTGCGGTCTCAGGTTGCGTTCTGAGTGGTTGCCTTTTGCCCACTGCTAAATTCCTCAAGGTGAGCCAGCTCAGGACCCAGCCTGCATCTCATCTGTAATCCCAGTGCTTGGGAGGCTGAACAGGAGGATCACTGGGAGTCCAAGACCACGCCGGGGTACACAGCGCTCTGAGTCAGCCTGGGTTACACAGTGAGACTCTAAACCTGACAAAAAACAAAAACCCTAGAAAAGTTTTTCACTGTCCGCTCACGCTGATGTGACGCCCTCCATCTTGCTCCCTCGGACCTCGGTAAAGGAACTTTTCTTACTGGGCGTCCTCGTTTTCTTCTAGATCCCCACAGAAAGAATGAAGACTGGGCCCAAACCCATGAGCCCTGGGACGGAGCCCGCCCTGCGAGCACAGCCTTCAGTCACATCTCTTTCCCCGAGTCACGAGCCCTTACCTGCGGTCGCCAGCGCCCCACAAGTGAGCAGCAGCAGTGCCATGGCACCCCCGACTCGGCAAGCCAGGGACGCTTCGGTCACGTTTCCATCGGTGCAGGTTTCTTGGGTTTCGCTCATCCCAGAAGCTAGGAAGGAACCTCCCTGGCCAAGACGGATACCAAGAGCTTCTGCAGGAAGAGGGGCTCCCCAAGGCGGCTTTCGGATCTTCTGAGGGCTGTAAATCTGGGCAGTTTACGCACTAATCCACGCCCCAGCCGCCTCTCTGTCAACTGCCTGCCCATTGGTAGCCAGCCCCAGAGGCGGAGTCTCGGACCAATCAGAAAAACCCCATTGGAGTCCTTGGACTGAGAATTTCAGTGGTCTTAACTGGGGTAAGAATTCCATAGATTATTTAACAAATAAATTCACATCACTCCTTCCCCCCTAATGAAGAGTAAATCCAAGGTTTTCTCACGCAGCTACCCTTGCACAGCGACCTCTGTGGGTGCGGGGTGAGTGTGTGTTTCAAGAGGAAGCCCTGTCCGCGAGCTCGCCAGGGTTCCAGCAGGAGGCGCAGGAGTCCAAGAGCAAGCTCAGGGAGAAAAGGGCAGAAGCTCCCTCATCTTCATTTTCAGTACAAATGCAGACCTTCACAATGGGGCCTCGCGATCCCTGTGACCTTTTTGGGTTTTCAACAGAAGGCATCAGAAAAGCTACTGCAGTTAAAGTTACTCTTGACCGTCAAGGGTTCACAGCCCGCTGGCTCTTGGATCCTTAGATGTTGGCTCTTCCTAGCATTGTGAAGCAATAGTCTCAAAAAGCCTTGGCTTCTTTGCCCACTAACAAGGCTTAAAATCAGTGAGACAGGTTCATGGTCCCTACTGATGATGTGCGGTTTTCATCTTAATCGTGCTCCATGGAAGGGGAACCCCAGGGTCACACATGTGGTGCATGAGCTCTGCTGAGGAGCCAGTGGGGGAAGCTGTCATCTGAGGGCTTAAACTGAGGGACTCTAACTCAGAGTCCCTCCCAGGGGGAAAATAACTGGAGCCCAGAAGGGGCCTCCCAGTCCTGGAAGGGACAGACTCCTGCCCTCCCTCTTCCCTCCAGGCCTGAGGCCAACCAGAGCTACACCAGAACAGGGCAGCTGTGGAAAACTCATCAACACCACTGCGGGGGTTGGGACGGTGCTGTGGGAAATGTGGCCAGTACTTAACTCATGTGGGTGAGGAATCTGGCTCTGAACCATTGGTAGACCACAGGCTTCCTGCTAGGGGTTTCCTAAGTAGCAGAGCAGCTCCATCCCCAATCTATTGAAAGCCCTGGACACAGGCTTGTTTTAAAAAAAAAAAAAAAGCAGATTTTTTTTTAATGGAAGTAAAAAGAATTAAACTCTCGTGATTAAAAAACACAATATAGAAAATACATAAGCCACTAATACTAGTTTGTTTATTGCCGATGCATATTGCATAATGCGCACACTATGCATATACTCTGTGTGCGATATTTTGGGACTAGCAGCTCAGTGCCATTGTTGGTCTCCACATGAGCACAATCACAGGAGCAACGAGTCCTGCCAGTGTGTTATTTGCCCACCACCTGTGATGACCTCACATCTCACTGGGCTCTGCCTCTCCAAATCCCATGCTTCCACAGGGCCTCCCTTACCTTTCTAACACCTGAGAAAATCCACTGGGGATGTGTAAATTTGAAAATTTCCTCATAAGAAACACATTGTCATTATTTTTCCTCAAAATGTCCCCTCTCTACTTGGGCACACCTGCCCCATCATTATTGCCACCTTTTGAGGGGATCCATGTGTATAGGTGTCTTTAATGGCACTGTTGTGGTTGCATCAGTATGCTGAATTCATCAAAATATTTACCTTTCATAGTCAATTTGACATTGGGGGACAGCCCTTTAGAGGACATTACCCTGGACTGGAAGTCTTACAGTGGTTGTTGGCAAGATATTGCCTTGGGATCCTGGCCATGAGAAGGATTCTTTGACTCTCTAGTGTGTGGACCAATTCCCCACACTATATTACTTGTGACTCTTTAAGTTTTTCCTGGTATGAATGGGACTGTTTTAGTCATCGGAGGAGTTGGGTTCTCACTGCCCCTAAAGATGGCTGTGTTTCCTTTTAGAGGAACTGTGAGAGTGTGCACACACCTGCACCCTCAGCACTCTGGAAAGTGGAGGCAAAAGGACTGCAAATTTCCATGCAGCCTGGGCCACTGTACTGCTTGCTTTTATCCTCGCTGTCTACCAGTGCACCCCAGCATCCTCTGGGGACCCGGAAGCTCACCTTCCACCTCCCCAGTAACAGCAGTGTTATTTCAAATGCAACACAGGCCAGTGTGCAACACAGCTCCACAGAGTCTGCTTTCCTTCACCTGGGCTGTTGATGGCTTGGGGAGGAGGAGTTTGGAACATATTCGGGCTGCAAAGCCTGAGGTTTCCTGATAACAAGGTTCACCACTAGTGGAGAGGGGTTGACTTTGAGCTATAAACAGAGGAAGCTCTTGGTTGGCGCTGACCAGAGCTACTCACCTCTACCCTGCTGTGTCTCACTGTGAAGGAAAGAAATCATGAAGTCAAATATACACTTTCTCTCATGTGTTCCACACATTGCCATCAAAGCTTAGAAGACATGAGGATCTGGGAAATGCAGGAGTTCATGCATGAACGCCTATGTGGCTAGTCTGGGCAGCCCACCCTTCAGCCACCTCTAAAGCTGGACCTGCCCTGAACAGAATCAAATGAAGTGTAGGAAGCACCCATCTCCCTTCCCATTAGGATCTTGAAAGCCCCAGCATGCTGAGCCTGGCTACAAGCTAAAATGATCTCGACTCCACTACAATAATAGAGCAAGGCCCACTTCTGGTCCCAGCTGTTTTAATCTCACTGTTCTTCCTGTCCCCACCTCCTTCCATCCTGGAGTGGATACGTGGATGCCCCAGTATGGAAAGAGTATGACCCTGATGTACAGAATTCCTGTCTTCTTTCTCAGGGGCTTCTGTATGTCTTAGTCCAACATAAATGGTCTGAGGCCTAGGCCTGGGGAAACCTCAGAGGCCTTGGGAATCATGATACCTGTGAGGAGCCAGGACTCTCCTCTGCTGGCTCTAAGGGAAGCTGTCTCCAGGAAAATGTTTTGAGGACGAGCTAAGTGAGCAGGTGAAGGGCAGAGCTGGAAGGAGGTGAGCTGCAGGGAGACCTGTGTGAGCAGCAGAAAGGCCTGAGGTGTGTGGGGGGCCTGAGGGGCCTGAAAATGCCAGTGCAGGTTTCCAGTATGGAAAATGGGGTGAAATTTCCCAAACTATGAAGCCCTGATCTCTGGTGGTCTGGGGTTCATATGAGATAAGCAACCAAAAAGTGCACAGGCAGAATGGCTTGTTAATGGGGGACTGGTTTATACAATGTGCATCTCAGTGACCAGCTGTTTCTAAGAGTCAGGAGCAACCACAACTAGAAAAGGAAGCATTCCCTGGGCAACTAACAAACTGAAGTACACTGTCTGGGGCGGGACACTTTGTGCCACAGCTCCACTGAACTTTTTTGCTAGGGACTTAGTTTTAAGATAGTGCTCCAAGCCAAATTCTCTGTGGTCATCTCAACAGGTGCACGGTCATCAAGACACTCACAGATGCCAGTCCAAAAACAAAAAGTAAATGCAGGAATAAATAATACACCAAGCATTTCTGTATACATCTGTTGTTCTTCAGAGCCTGTTTGCCCCGTGTTTTATACCCAAAGAAATGAATGTTGATAACACCTCTCCTGCTTATGTATGTTTGATTTGAGAGATAATAAAATCCAAAAAAACAAAACAGAAAAAAGCCAATCAAGACAAAGCAGCAAAATTGGTACAGAACTTCAGTGCAGGGTACTAGGAAAACAATGATAGCTACCATAGTATATCTTGTTATCTTCACAATAGTTGTCCATGCCATCGGGTAGAGCAAAATCAAACCAAAGCCAAAATGGACTAAAACCAATCAAAACAGAATACTGAATAAAGCAAATCAATTAATCAGAACAAAGTAAAACAGTAAGACCAATATTGGATTTCAAAGACAAGATAGAAGGAAATCCCTCATATTTGCTATCTTGCATACTGTCATCCTCCCAAGAGATGCTCAGAATGCTTGTCCACCAAAAAAGAAATGCATTTAGTCGCTTTATGGACCTTAGTTGCTATCAACTCAGCCTGTCCTCTGAAACAGTGGATTTCTTACTGGGGCCGGGGAGTAGGTGGGTTATGGAGTTTAATTATCAGCCCATGCATTGTTATTGCCTGTGCCTCTTGTGAGCCTGCTGTGCTCTTTTATTCTCATGAACCTGTTTGATTCATGTTTTGGTTTACAACAAGAGCACCTGCATATGAGAACCAGAGGTGTCCTCTCACATGCTGTATGATGATTTTCCTCATGCCTCCGGTCCCTATCAGGGGCCAAAATGCTGCATCCAGTGCAGCTCTTGAGTTTCCTGGGGGAAGAATGGTGAGGATGAAGAAAGGAAGATACAAGTCAGAATGCAGAAAGCCGAGCTGGGGTGCAGCCTCCTCTCCTGGTGGGAGAAAAATAGTTGCACTCAGATCAAAGTCAGTGGAAACCCCTCTGCCTAACAACTTGTTCATCTAGCTCATCTTGGGCGCCTTAGGGTTAGGGTTAGGCTAGTTCATGGATGTGGCTAAATATCATTGTTCAAAAATAAATATTCAGTTCAATATTTCTCTTGTCCTTAGAGTTCGCCCAGTCAGCACACCTGACCACAGTTAGATTGACAAATATCATTACTGAAAAATAAATATTTAATTAAAAATATTTCTCCTGTCTTGAGAGTTGGCTCTGTCAGCACTGCTGAACACAGGTAGATCGGCATGAGTGGAGATGAATGGCTGTCACTTCACCCGCGATGATGTGGCCCTGTGGCCTGTATTGCTTCTCCTCCAGCAGGCCAGCCAGGGTTTGTCCTTCTCATGTCAGAAGCACCAAAGACAGCAAAGGGAGACACAAATGGCCTCTCAAGGGCACAGTGAGAACTGGCGTGGAGTCACTTTCTTATACTAGCTGGAGTAAGGCACATGCCTGAGCCCACTGTCCAGAGAGTGGGCTGGAGGGCACGGGAAATTTATGTGACAGCAGATGTGCACAAAGAAACAGTGAGGAATTGGAGTTATCTTTGTAAACGATCATGCTTTGTAGGGCTACAGTTCTTTCTTCATTGTCACAGCTGGGTTTTAGTTTACAACAAGAGCACCTGCATATGAGAATGAGAGAAAGGAAAAAAGTGACAATAAATACAAATATCATATGGAAACATGTGAAAACCACTTTATACCAGTTTTCTCACTGGTTTCGCTCCAACCAGGAGAATGAGTTCCAGGACTCACATAACTAATCTGAGATGAGCAGTTTTTTTCTTGAAAAAAATTTCTCATTTTTCATTTCTGGTGAGAGGTGGTTGGTCTTGGACAGATTTCACCATGACAGGGCCATAAGTAACTAAGAAAAACTGTATCACCTAGAACCATTTTAAGCAGTGGCGCTATAGCACAGTGGCAGTGTCTGCCAGCATGCTAGGCAATAGGAGAAAAAGTAAAATAGAACCATTTTGGCATACACATTCACCCTGTGGGTCTGTAAACTGAAGCTGTGGCCCTTGATATTTGGGCCGCACACGAGGATTCCATGTAGAAACATGGAAGCTGAAAAGTATCTGGACTAAGCCAAGGTGGTGGTTCATCCAGCTGAAACATGAAGTAGACATGAGAAAGGGAATAACCTTCTCTCTGCTCTGTGCTCTGCGTGTGTGTGAGACCCATGCAGCCTGCACGTAGTTCAAAACCTGGGTCTGAGTTCACATGATCAGGTTCAATTCACAGTGACACTTGCATTGTACAGAGACAAAGGAAGGTCCATAGTGCATCTTCCCAGTGTCATAAACCAACACATGTTGACCCCACAGCAATACAAATCAGAGAGGATTAGGATAAGCAGACCAAGAGCCTTCAAATCACACACAAAACTTCCAACGCACCAGCACCAACCTTCAGAGCTGCCTGACCCTGCCCACCGATCATGATTCTGAGGTCTTGGAGCAAAGTCCAAAACAAAAGACTGTACTTTTCTTTCAGAGCCTGCTATGGCTTGTGTCTAGATGTCCCCCTTAAGCTTCATGTGATTATTAGCTGGGGTTTTTCCAGAAGTGCCTGGATCTAGCATGTCCGATTTATTCACGGTTCAATGCTGGGACTAAGGGTGTATAATCACTAAATCAGTTCACTGATTGATTTGACACTCCATAATCCAAGAGGAAGAATGAAAAAAAAAAAGCCGCTAAGGTGTCTTGTTGCTCTTGCTACATTCTGCCTGTCATGATCTGTGTTTGTCTGCCAAGCCACCTTCCTCGGAGCCAGCCAATTATGCACTGAAGCCTTGACAAACTGTGAGCGAAATAAATCTTGCCCCCTTTAACTTTGACAATCAAGTATTTTGTCTCAGCAACTAAAAAAGTAAGACAGTGCACCATACCTTGTTCCAGTATATTAAAATTCACTATTAAAGTCAGTAAGATAGGAAGAGCAAGGATCCAGATGGAATCTATCTTCTTAGATGCTGCAGAAAAAACGAGAACCAGAGTAAGGAGCAACCAGTGGCAAGAGCGTAAGACAACGCACAGCAAATTACTCCTGCTAGCATCGAGGAGCTTTGTGCCCCTTTCCTGTCAAGAGATCCCAGCACAACTTCAAGCCACAGGACTTGGCATCCCCTTTCCTATCACACACATCTCCACTCTCTGAGTACAGGAAGTCTCCAACTAATGAACATTTGGGTTGTGAACTTTTACATATATAAACAGACCTCATGCTGTGAACAACACAGGTGGGAATAAATTATGGTCAGGAGTAACTCATGTGTGTCTGCTGGACATCAGTACCACGGTGAGGGGGGAGGACTGCTAGGAGTGCAGGTTGTTGCAAGTCCAGTTGTTGTTCTGCACTCTACCACCATGTTAGGGTAAGAGTAAAAGGAGAAATAGTATATTTATCGAATTTGTGTGTTTGGTTTTGGGTTTTCATGCTTTATATTGTACATTGCTATCAAAGGTGTATACTGTTTATTTTGTGAGATTTACAAATAGGTCTGACCTAGGAACTCTATCCCAGAACTGAAATGCTTCAAGTCAGCGACTTACTGTACAGAATGCTTATGTCAGAAAGCAGGTAGCATTAAACCCCACACACCACACACATGTGTCATACATATCCTCCCAGCTTACAGAGCCTGCTGTCTCTTACCAATTACCTCCATACCATTCAGACAGAGCCCTCCTCCCATCCACACCAAGCGTATTTTGGGGTCACACTCTCTGGGGGCCACACCCGTCTTGCACACAGTGCCCACACACATAGCCCAGCCTTTGTTTGAGAACAACCCACTTCTCTTTAGTATCAGCCAAGGTCCAGTCTGGCCTATTCCATTCACATCCCTCAGGGCTTCAAGCTGTCTCTGAAACATTCATTTCATCAGTGGGGTCCTGCCCACTCAATAGGAGAGATAAGAACTGGGCAACCAACTTAGGAGCCCCAAAACCCCAGCCTGCAGGAGGTTTTAGTAGGAGTCATATTATCGAAGGATCAGGTATGTCAGCAGAGAGCCATGGGGATTTGTAGGGTTATCCTCCTATGGCTCCTCATCTTGGGACAGAGCCTACTAAGGACTATCTGTTTGGCCTCTGTCAGATCATAGCATCTAGTGGACCTGGAGTCTGAATGAAAGAGGTGCTGGTCCTCAGCCCCACAGCCCTTATTATCAGGGGACAGAGGCACAATCCTGTCCCTTTTTCCTAGCAGCTGACAAGTGTCCCATTCTACATCACAAGGACCTTCAAGAAACCTAAAACTGTCATGAGCTGGCCCGTAGACCAATTTCCACCTGATGACTACTACCACCCCTGAATAGGGACTGAACTCACATTGCTGTTCAACTGAGACAGACCCGGCTTGTTCCATTAGCCCAAGTTTACTGTTTTCCCCCATCAAACACTGACGAAGACGTTAGACCACTCAGGGACCAAGGAGCAGAGGGAAGAAATGTGTGAGAAGACACTTCTCACAGGCAGAATGCACTTCAACCTCAGGGAGGTGTGCAAGGATATGTGGCCCACTACCACACCAGGTAGATGCTCCCATTGTCTTCCAGAGAGGCAGTGGGTTCCAAGCAGCTGGGGGTGTTAAACAGACCACTCGTATTCTTCATGATGGGATCAGTACTGGTGTCTGTGGAAGTCCTTTGGTATTGGGGACCCTTGTTGGTCAGCTTCTCCCTGAGATGTTACAGGTTTCCAGGCAGAACTCATTGGACTGACACACAGGTGTATGTCTTTACCTTTTCCCACGTTTCCCTCCGGAAATGCTCTGCTGGTTTGCTCATCTGCCAGAGAAAAGAAGTCACAGTGTTGCACTCAGTGCGAGTTCTCCTTTATCACTCCCACATCAGGCTAACTGGCTTCTACCACCCCTAAACATTTACATCTCTTTTACCACAGCCAGGCAGGACAGGCAATATCAGCACCCACTCCTTTCAAGGATGTACACTCAGTGGCAGAAATAATGCCTCAACCATGCTAATCAATAAGCTGAAGGGTTACTGAGATGCCACAGCACACTGGGAATTTCTGGATGGTGGGTATAAACTAGCTGGTCACCAATTTGATATCTGCCCTGTTAGACTTCAGCAAGTGTAAACAAAGTCAATGGAGTCTGGTTCAAGTTTGGCATCTGGCTGGGGGTCCTGGGACCCAGCAGGGTGTTGCCACACGGTGACCTTGATTCTCATGCTTATCTTCAGTTGCACACAACACATTCAGGTTGAAAGGTTCATCACCAACTCCTACTGCAGGTAGGTGTGCCAACCGGAACCTAGGGTCTGCTCACTCTGGATATAATGAGGGAAGATAAAAGCACCTATCAGGAAGTAGTTTTACATAAGAACAGTGAGATTCTGTTGAAAGAGTAGACAAATAAATCAATAGAAATAGACACACACCAATGTGTTCAACTCATCTTTGCCCAAGGAGCCAAGGTGATAACTGAGCAGGAACACCCCAAATCAATCAAGGAATGGTGCTGGGAAATTCAGCGTTCCTATGCAAACAATGCACATGGAATTTGGATACAGACTGATATTCTACAGTTATTAATTCAAAGTGAATCATAGAATTAGATAAACACAGAAGACAATAAAATGTACTAAGCAAATACAGAAGAAAATCCAGTGGCCTTGAATTTGGTGATGCACTTTTGTTTGTTGGTTTTTTTTTTGTTTTTTTTTTTGGTTTTTTGGTTTTTTTTGGTTTTTTTTGGTGATGCACTTTTAAACACAGGGTAAAGGCTGCAGAGGTCGCCTGTGAGAGTGCAAAGCCTGACATGCTCTAGGCTCTGACTCTAATTGCAGCAGTGCCAAAAGACAAAGCTATTGAGTAAAACGCCAAAACATGAGCCATGAAAGAAAACATGAAAGAAAAAGTTGGGAATTTGCAACTCAGTAAAATTAAGAACTTCGGGGGTGGGGATTTAGCTCAGTGGCATAAGCACCTGCCTGGCAAGCCTGAGGTCATGAGTTCGAACCCCGGAACCTCAAAAAAAAAAATAAATTAAGAACTTCTAGAGGATATGTAGTACTCTAGAGAGGACATTAGTACAAATAGAGAATATTAAGTAAAAGCTAAAAGACTCTTATGGACTTTATTAGATGCCACTCTATCACACAGGTGCATTAAATTAACAAATTGAGCTGTTAATGACAGGTAATGGGGCAGAGACAGTAACATGGGATCCTTCTGCATTATCTTTTTGGTGTTGTTGCTTTGTTAACTTTTTAAGTGTCTTTCTTGCTGAGGATTGAACTCAGGACTTCCAGCTTGCTATACAAGTGTTCTACCACTGACCTAAGCCCCCAGGCCCTCTCTGGACAATCTTAAGAATCTTAACTTTTTTGAAAAGCCAGTTATTTCAGAGTTTCTGTAACCTGCAAAATAAATGAACTGTAATTAACATACGTCTGCACCTCCAGTATTAAACAAGGCTAGGGTTGCAGCTCAGCAGCACAAGCACCTGCAAGCGCAAGGTCCTGAGCTTGATGCCTGGTACAAAAACATAATAGAGCCCCAAAATTCAACACTCTATGATGGAGGGTTTGAAATGCTACTTTCCTGCTATATGGTCACCTTTAGGTCCCTCTAACATCCACATGGCCTCCCAGAGATCTTACTATTTCTGAATAGAGCTATGTAGTCATACATCTGTTAAAAAAATAACAAAGAAAAACCCATGAAAACAGCTCTCCTATGAAGAATTCCAAATAAATCATGGAGCTACTGCATCCCATAGGGAAAGGTGTGTACCTCCTACAGTGGGGTAACACACAGTGACTTCCTCTCAAGGACCAGAGCACAGAAGCCTAGAGCAAGAGTAACTTAACAGTGAAGCAGCCAGGCACACAGGACTGCACCCAGGAGAACAAGGGCGACATGGAGAGTCATGAATTATGTGACTGGACGAGGGCTGCAAACTCCCTTTACCCATGATCACCCTCCCAAATCCAAACCCCAGTCACATCATAAGTGCAGCAAACAAACTCCCAGAGAGTGTCTCCTACAACAGCTCGACCACTGCTGCTCAAACTTTCAAGGACATCAAAATCCAGGGAAGTCTAGAAACGTTCACAGCCGAAAAGAGACACGCAAATTAAAAGTGTATGGTGTTCTACGTGAGATCCAGGAACACAAAAAGCATACTAAGTAAAAACTCAGGAAATCTGAATAAATTACAGACCCTGATTAACAGGAACTTATTGATATTGGTTTTCTAATTAAATGAAAGTCACCATACTGAGGCAAGCTGGTAATGGTACGATAAATTCTGCACAGTGGTAGGAATAATATGAGAACCCACTGGGATGTCTTGTTCATTTCTTTTTTAAAAGCACTGCTATTTCAGGCTTTCTGCAAGTTGCACAATCAATGAATTTTTACAAGTACAAAATGCTGCACACCTAGTATTACTTAGACACAAAGTGATCAAACAACACATACACTGAAGGGGGTTTGAAAATGCTGCTCATTTGTTAGGATCTGTGTCTCCCTAAAATTTCTACGTCCTCTCCAGTGTTCCTGGAGAGGACATAGAGTGTGAAGATTTAAACACATATTCTTATAGACATAATTACATTAAAAACAGACTGTCAGGGTAGGTCCTAATTGATTGTAACTGGTGCCTCTCCAAGAAAACATTTAGGACAAACAGAGAAAAATGACCATGAGGGAGAACAGAGAAAAGGCCAAGAAGAGAGGACTCAGGGGAAATCAGCCACACTGACATCTCACCTCAGACTTCTAGAATCCAGAACTATAAGAAAATAAACATCTGTGATTATGCCACAGACTAAAAGCCACAACGCTCAACCACATGTCAGATGCTTTTATAAAAGAGGAAAAAGCAGCTCAAATAGCTTTTGGGGGAATGTTTTAAGCCTTGACTGAGAACCTCCCTACAGTACAACAGGCAAACAGCTGGATATTTTCACCTATACCAGGGAATCACTGTAACTCAGTGATGTATTTGCTATATTTTTTCTATCTCTTTATTGGTTATACAGTTTTGCTTTGTTTTGAAAGAGCATCTATCTGAGCTGCCTAGGATCTCTGCACCCTTGAGATCCTCCGCCTTGGCCTCCCAGGTCACCGGCATCTAAGGACATGCACCACAATGCCTTACATCTTATTATGGGCCAGGTAAGCGCTTTCAGCTCATTTTATACAGTTGAATATTCAGGTTTCAAGAAACTAAATGACTGGCCACAGTCACAGGTTTGAAACAGCAACACTGGGATAGAATTGAGGTCAGTCAGGCCAGGGCCCAGACCTCCCCAGTTACTCATTGCCCTGTGGTTTCCACAGTGACACTGACTGTAGATTCACAGCTGGAGGGAATTAGCTACCAACTGCTAGCACTGTCACTTACAGAACACTGATGAGGACTGGGTTCTGGGCTGAGCTGCTCACCCGTGGTCCCCCAATCTCACCAATGACCAACTTCGGTAGAGCACTGAAGTTCAGACTGACTAATGACTTGCCCAGAGCTATCTAAGGGTGTATAGAAGCCCAGGACGGGAGCTCATGTCTGGGATAGACCCATACTCTGCCCCACACATCCAACTGCATTCCACCCCAGGACCTAGCACAGTGTGACTGCAGGCCTCTGCCCTCAGGCACTCACCCAGGACTTCCAGCAAGATGCTGTCATCTTCCATGGCAGGGGTGTCCACCACCTCGCACCAGTATACTCCTGCATCCCCCAGCTGGACCGCAGGCAGCTGCAGTGAGGCGTCGCCCCTCTGTAGCCTCTCTGGAGACACTTCAGCCCCAGTTCTGGGAATGTTTTTATTATTGCCAAATAGCTCCAACACCGTGATCTTCGATTTAGACTCAGGATCTATGCGATACCACCTAATGCCCATAACACATAGATCCAGCCTTGCGAAGCCAGAGAAATTGCAGGGCATGGTGACATTGTCATTCAGGCGTACGGTCAGTTTCCTTAGTGGCACCTCCACTCTCAGAGAACCTGTGACAAAAACACACTTGGTTTTGGGCATCCTTGGTATCTCAAATCCACCAAGTAATAAATTCCTTTTGGGGTAACCGTGAGGACTCAGGGCACAGGCTCTCAGTTCACGGCCCTAATGCACCCATTAAGATTCCTCTTTCTTGTTTTTCAACATTATTTTGGCTGTTTGTATTGATATAATTCCACAGGAATTTCAGAACCAGCTTACCACCTTCTACCAAGTGACCAGCTGAGAGTCTGCTAGAAATTTCACACCATCTGCTGACTGATATGGGAGTACCACTATCACCCACGCAAGGGTGTGTGGTACGTGCTATGGACTCAATGTCTCTGTCCTCCCAGAATGTGTCTGTGGAGCCCTACTCCACAGGGCAATGGTGTTTGGAGGCAGTGCCTCTGAGAATTGACCAGGACCTAAGGGCAGAACCCAAGGAATGGCATTAGTGTCCTTCTAACAGGAGAAGGGAACAGATCTCTCACTCTGCCTGGAAGAAACACCAAAGTGTCCTGCAAACCAGCAAACGGGCCCTCAGCTGAGACTCCCTCAGTCAGGACATTCCTCTCAGCCTTCCCAGCCTCCATCATGGTGAGAAAAATATCTGGGAAGCCACCTGATCTGTGGCATTTGCTGTGCCAGTTTGACAGGAAGAGAGGATCTTGTTACATTTCTCTAGAAAATATTTATAGGTGTCAGAGTCCTGTCACAGGTCACTCACTGACAGGACCTGAAATTGTCATCAGCCAGATTCACCACAGTGTGAGCATCAACTGTGTAAACCTCTCACAAACCTCAGTGGATGGGGCAGCCACTCACTGTGGTCCTAATTAGATTCAAAGATGCAGTGACAAAACTCATGAAGCTACTGCCCACCTGGCCTTTTATGGGACTCTTTTTTTTAAATATACAAATAGAACACTCTAAAGTGATCTAATAGGCATTGTATAGCAAATACATAACTCAGTGTCATCGACTGTCATTCTTACATCTGTGCATAACTGTGTGTGCTGCATTTTCACACAACTAGCAGCACAGGAGTTTTGTTTGTATCCCTGTGAGCACAAACACATGAGCTGTGTGCTACATTGCAAGTTTATGACCGCTTTGTCACCAGGTGAAGGCAATCTTTTTCTTGTGATCAGGCTGGCAGAAAACTCACTCTGTAGACCCAAAACTTACACCAGTCCTCCTGCCTTTGCCTCCTTAGTGCTAGATAACAGGGAACACCACTCTACCCAGAAATATGCATTATAATCTTATGTGACCACAATCATGTATGTAACTCTTCACTGACCAAAACACCACTATGAGTTGCATATAACTATACATGTGTTGTTTCTCTTGTTAAATTTCTTCATAAACAAGTTTACTCTTTTTGATGCTACTATACAAGGAGTTTTGCTCAATATTATTTTCAGATTATTTACTGCACATGTATGCAAATACCACTCATTCTTTGTACTGTCATTTCCTTTCCCCATCAGCAACCCATTATAAGTCCTTTCATGTCTTCAACTTTTGTGCTCTGTAAAAGTGTATTGCTTTGTTTCTGTTTATGGTAATGGTATATAACCGTGCATGCAGTACACATGTGGTTTGGGGTATATGGTGTACAGGTCTCATTATTTCCCTTCACTCAAGGTCATTCCACATGGCTGTGTGTACAGCTGCTCCACTGCTAGAAGCTGCTGCCAAGTTCTCCAAGATGAGCATCCACTTCTGGCTCCCCAGCAACCCTCACACTGGCACTCACTTCGCTTCCTGGTGTCTCCTTGCCCACCCCTTCACACACAGAAGCCACCCACTTCATCACTAGCATATCTAGGCCTAATAGGTGTTAAGAATTTCTCATTGATGATTTAATTTCTAGCCAACTCTAAGGAGGCCATTTATGTTGACTGGGAAAAACAACTCTCTTTAAGGCTTGCTCCGAGGATATGGAGAAGAGTCCTCTGTGTCAAGCCATCATCTTATTGAGAGCTGGTGTGAGGGATTTTTACAGGAAGGGATAGAGGGGAGAGAAGGCTACAATAAGAAAAGAGGTGACTCCAGGTTTGCATCATCTCTTCTGGCCACCACCATGTCCTAGCCCAGCATCTGCAATTCCCCCCACCCCTTGGTCTTTTTGAGACAGTTTTACTATGCAGTTCAGGCTGGCCTTGAACTCACTCTTTAGCCTAGGCTGGCTTGGAACTCACAACAAGCCTCCTGCATCGGTTTTCCCAGTGCTGGGCATACAGGTATTTGATACCTGCATACATTTAGTTTATCCAGGCTAGACATGAGTGGGAGTGGAGCAGGTCAGAATTGGGGGAGGTTGGGGGGCAGGTGAGAGGTGAGGTGAGGGTTAGGGGGATGAAGATGGTGAGTGAAGGAAGGAATGTGGAAATGGAGGGCACAGGGTGGGGATGGTAGGTGGTATGGGGATGAGGGTAGCAGCAAAGGCTGGGTGCAGGAGTGGGAGATGGGTGATGTGTCAGGCTGTGAAGTGGAATACAAGCGAAGGAAATGGGGTGGAGTGGGAATGCATAGTAGTGGGATGGTGGTGGGGCAGGCTGGGAGACGCACTGGGGGCAGGAGGTGGCCTTTGAGTGGTGGAGGGGGCATAAGGAATGGGCCCTTAGTGGAGTGATGTGAATGTAGCAGGGGCTGGTGAAGGCTCAGCTGGGAATGGCAGTGTGTTCCTCAGGGTGGACTGGAATGTGGGGGTTGAAGGGTAGGTGGGGCACTGCTGAAGAAGGGGGTGTTTTGCAAAGGTTATGCAGGTGAAAAGGGGGTAGTTGGGAGGCGCCCTCTCCCATACAAAAGCTGCTAAGTTCTCAAAGCAAAAAATATTCTCTATCCAGTCACAGGTGCTTCCCAGCTGTTTTTTCCATATTCTCCAACTTTTATGTAGACCCCAAACTCTCACTCTGATTTCACTCTCAAAAACCTCAGCCTACTCAGGCCACGACAAACGCTTCTCTTTCCTATGTTCCTACATGTTGGCAAAGTCCCTTTTACTGCCTTTGTCACATGGGCTCCCCTGCCCCGCTGGAGGGCGGTTTATCTAAAAACACCAAACAAAAACCAAAAAAAAAAAAAAAAAAAAAAATCAAAAGTTATAAAGGTCTTAAAACATCTAAAGTTGCGCTTTGTCGTGTCAGGTTGCATTTTCGTGGTTTCCTTTGGCCCGCTGCTAAGTTCCTCAAAGTGCGCACTCTCACGACCCAGCTTGCAGCGCAACTGTAATCTCAGAGTTTGGGAGGCTGAGCTAGAGAATCACTGGGAGTCCAAGACAATTCCGGGGTACACAGTGCGCTCAAGGCCAGCCTGGGTTACACACTGAGACTCTGAATCCGAGAGAAAAATACCCAGAAAAGTTTTTCACTGTCCGCTCACGCTGACGTGACGCCCTCCATGTCTTTCCCTAGGACATAAGGAAAGGAACTTTTCTTACTCTGAACTCCCTCTTCGTTTTCTCCTAGGTCCCCACAGAGAGAATGAGGATAGGGCCCAAACCCACGAGCCCTGGGACGGAGCCGCCCGGCGAGCACAGCCTTAAGTCACGTCTCTTCCCCTGAGTCCCGAGCTCTTACCTGCAGTCACCAGCGCCCCACAAGCGAGCAGCACGAGTGCCATCACCACCGCGACTCTCTACTCCGCGAGCGCTGGACGCTCGCATCAGGAGCCCGTCGGTGCAGGTTTCTTGGGGTCCGCTCAGCCCCGAAACTGCCCAGCGACTCGAAAAGTCACTGTGGGACAGTATCTGTTGCTGCAGGCTGAGGGGCTCCCCAAGGTTGCTTTCTGATGTTCGGATTAAGGGATGACGCCCCAATCTTGGAGACATCTCCAGCGTCTCCCCGCCTCCTGCTGCGGTGGTACCAGCCCCCGGTTGAGAAGACTGGCGCTAATAGGCTGAACCTCAGGAAATCCCCCACTGGAGTTCCTGGACTGAGAATTCGCGTCATCTTAAGTGGGGTGAGAGTTCATACATTAACAAATAAACAAACATCACTTCTTCTCCCAATGAAGAGTGAATCCAAGGTTTTCTCACGCAGCTACCCCAGCACAGTGACCTCTGTGAGTGTGGGGTGCTTGGGTTTTTTAAGAGGAGGCCCCTTCCGCGGACTCGCAAGGGCTCCAGCGCGAGGCGCAGGGGTCCCAGAGCGAGCTCAGGGAGGAGGCAGAAAGCTGGCTCATCTGCATTTTCAGTACAAATACAGACCTTCACAATGGGGCCTCTCGATCCCTCTGACCTTTTCGGTTTTCAGCAGAAAGCATCAGAAAAGTTACCGCAGTTAAAGTTACTTTTTTTTTTTTTTTGTCTTTTTCCTTTTTATCAGTACTGGGGATCTAACTCAGGACTGCCTGCTTGCAAGGCTGGCGCTTAAGCCGCTGAGCTAAATCCCCCGCCCCTTTTGTTTTTCCTTCTTTCTTTCTTTTTTTTTTTTTTTTTTTTTTTTTTTGGTGTTAAAGTTACTCTTGACCGTCAAGGGTTCACAGCCTGCTGGCTCTTGGATCCTTAGATGTTGGCTCTTCCTAGCATTGCAAAGCAATAGTCTCAAAGCCTTGGCTTGTTCACCCACTAACAAGGCTTAAAATTAGTGAGACAAATTCACTGTCTCTACTTATGTGTGGTTTTTATCTTAATCGTGCTCCATGGAAGGGGAACCGCAGAGTCACACATGTGGTGCATGAGCTCTGCTGAGGAGCCAGTGGGGGAAGCTGTCATCTGAGGGCTTAAACTCAGGGGCTCTAACTCAGAGTCCTTCCCAAGGGGAAAATAACTGGAGCCCAGAGGGGCCTCCCAGACCTCAAACAGAGGAGTCTCCTGCTGTCCCTACCCCATCCCGCCTAAAGCTTGTCCAGAGCTGCTCCAGACAGGGCAGCTGTAGAGAACTGCTCCCCCCACTCAGGGGGAAAAGGTGCTGTGGGAAATGTGGCCAGCACTTAACTCATGTGGGTAGGAATCTGGCTCTGAACCATAGGTAGACCACAGGCTTCCTGCTAGGGGTTTCTTAAGGAGCAGAGCAGCTCCGTCCCCAATCTGTTGAAAGCCCTGGACATAGGCTTATTTAAAAAATAAAAAATAAATTTAAAAAAAGCAGTTTTTTATTAAAGTAAAAAACTTGGATTCTGATAATTAAAAGCACACTGTAGAAAATACATAAGCCCCCAGCACTACTTTTTTATTGTCTTTGCATATTACATAATGCGCACACTATGTGTGCCATATTTTGGGACTAGCAGCTCAGTGCCTTTGTTGGTGTCCACATGAGCACAATCACAGGAGCAAGGAGTCCTGCCCAGTGTGTTATTTGCCCACCACCTGTGATGACCTCACATCCCAGTGGGCTCTGCCTCTCCAAATCCCGTGTTTCCACATGACCTCCCTTACCCTCTAACGCCTGGGTGAGGTGTGAGGAGAATCCACTGGGGATGTGTAAATTTGAAAATTTCCTCATAAGAGACACCTTATCATTATTCTCCCTCAAAATGTTCCCTCTCTAGTTGGTGACACCTGCCCCACCATTCTTGCCACTTTTTGAGGGCATGCACGTGTGCAGGTGCCTGGAGTGGCACTGTTGTGGCTGCATCTGTGTGCTGAACTCATCAAAATATTTACCTTTCATGGTCATTTTGACTTTGGGGGAGAGCCCTTTACTCGCGAGGTGCAGAGCCCGGTAAGGAAGACAGAAGAGGCCTGCAGGCTGGGGCATGAGCAGTGACACCTCAGCCTGCCCTCTGCCCGCTGCCAGCTTCCTTCCCACTCTGCCACCAGCCCTCTCTGTTATCCCTGCCCGCAGCCCAGTGTCCTGACTGGTGATGATGAAACAGGCTACGACCTGGCTTTATTTCCTACCCCTAATCCCTACACCAAGACTTGGAAAAGCTGTTTTTCCTTTATGCATTAATTGTGGACAGGACTGGAAGGCTTGCTGGAGATGCCAGGAAGCTGATGGGGTCATCCCACTGCAGTCCTCTGTGTTCTTAAGAGGAGCTATCAACTCTTCCCTGACCTGCTGGATTACCTAAAGCACTGAACAGCAATTGTGATACATCCATCCCATGACTGTAGAGTTTACCAGACAAAGAGCTCTTTAATTTTTAGATGATAACAAAAATCTAATACATGCTTTGAGGAATATTCAACAACTATAAAATCACTGAGAGACTTAATGAATTATTATCTGTAAAATTTCCAGGCACTAGAGTGGATTGGTTGAGTCCCCTTCTTTGCTTTTCACTCTCTGTGCCTTTAACACCTGCACCATCAGCCCTGTCTGGGTTCCTCAGTTCAGGGCTTGGAAGACTGTTCCCTCTGCCTCCAGCTCCCTCCTCCCAGCCCCAGGCCTCAGCCTCAGCCTCAGCCTCAACCTCAGCCTCTGGCTGCACTGGGAACAGGTACAACCCAGAAATACTTCTCTTTTTCCTCTCCAGGGCACTGTGCCATTCTTTACTCATACCATAGGCCTCCCTAAACACCCCATCTCACTCTCCTGCCTTCCTGCCTTCTGGAGCTTGCTGGGGGGAAAAGGGAGATCAGTGGCTCCTGGAAGCCTCTGTACCAGTGCTTGCGACCTAGAACAGCCTAGCTCAGCCTTGGTTAAAAAAAAAAAAAAAAAGGCCTGCAGGGCCACCAGAGCTCTGCAGCACTCCCCATCCCAGCTCTCAACACTGTGTCACTAAGACTATCCCCTTTGCCTCTGGCTCCCTGCCTGCCCAGGCCTGGGCCCCTTCTGAGAAGAGAGCACTGAGCCTCTTGCCAGGGCACATTTGGTTCAGAGCATCCTAGGCCCAGGCCTGGCTCCAGCTGCCCAGGCTTTTAGACTTGAACTTGTTACACTTGAGACAAATTCCTATACACACTGCACACTCAGGATTCCTGCCTGACCCCAGGAAGGAGCCATTCCTCCTCCGCCCTGCTCCTCCTCCTGCTGCCTCTACAAACCTTGAGCTGAAATGAACCTTTCCTGCTTTATCACGTGGGTGTCAGCTATTTTATTCCACCAACAAGAAGCTGGGGGTTGGCACGGGTTGGCAAAGGTTGGGCTAGTGGGAGCTGGGCAGTGGGAGGACGCAGCCCACAGGGGATCCACAAGCTGTTAGATGTTTCAGGCAGAAACATGCTCTACCCAACACCATGGGCTTTCCCACCATTTTTTCTCTCATCTTCAGCTTTTATGAACACCCCCACACCCATCCTCAACTCAGGCCATGATAAAAGCTCCTTTTCCATGATCTTATGTGCAGCAGTCTTTTCTACTGCCAGGGCCACATGCTGGAGGGTGCTTTACCTCAACCAACAAACAACCGAAAAAAAAATTTCTAAACCTGTAATGTAAAAAGAGGTGACAGGAATTGGAGGCTGTGTCCCAAAAGGTAAGAAAGGACAGACTGTGAGATCCCTAGGGTAGGGGAAGAGGGGGTACTGTTGTTGGGCAGGGTAGGAATGGTCAGGCTTGAGAGGGATAAGGAGTGGGTTTTGGATGGAATCCAGGGGTGATCTGAGTGTCCCAGACTGTGGGGCTGAGATGAGGGACAAGGATGGGAACCATGGTGGGGGATGTGTGGCTCTAAGTGTTGGTTGTGTCCAGGGCAAAATTTCTATAAGGTATAGGTGGCTACAGAATGCTAAAAGTGCCCAGGAAACCCTGAGGAATACTGGAGACTTTGTAGAGTAACTGTATCAAGGAGACACGGGTTCAAAGGCCATATTGAGGCTCTCTAATGAATGGATACCTGGCAGTCACCTTGTAACACCCATCTGAACTGCACCAGCAAAGTGCTGCATGTGGAAGGCCCACCCGAGGATTGTTGCTAACAGCCTCCGAGCAGAATTGGAGCAGAAGATGGTGCACTGTTGACTCTCCTGCACAAGCCTGTCAAGCTGGCTTTCCAGGTGTGAACTGAGCTGTTTTCATCACCGGAGGAGCTCTGATCCTTGCTATCACTAAAGATGGCTGTGGTTCTTTTCAGGAAAGCTCTGTCTCTGGTCCTCACATTGAGCATGGCTTCCTGGCTCCAGTTTAGATCCTCAGGCTGCTGGCACAGATCCTTCCTCTCACTGGTGCAGGCTTTCTAGCTTCCACCAGTGGCCTTTGTGTTTTCCCAGTGCAGTTTCTTGATACAGACTTAAATGAGACATTGTTGTGGTCTGAAGACCTCCAGTTGGCCTATTAGAGGACAGTGCCCTGGGCTGGAAGCCTGGGACTGGACCTGTGCAAGACACTGCAGTGGGATTGAGGCCCTGAGTGGGATTCTTTGACTCTCTAGTGTGTGAACAGATTCCCCACACTATACTGAATGTGACTCTGAGTTTTTCCTGGTATGAACTGAACTGATTTGTAATTGGAAGAGCTCGGGTCCTCACTGTCCCTGAAGATGGCTGCGTTTCTTTTCAGAGGAATTCTGGTCTTTATGTTGAGCACTGCTTCCTGGCTGCAACTACAAGACAGGAAAACCCCAAGTTGAATACCAACACAGGAGCGAACAAACAGTATTTTGATCTTAATTAATTAAAAAAAAAACCCACAGTAAGGGAAGGGGAAAAAAGTAACCCTGAAACTATTGATCACTATTTGGAGACTATGTCCTCTGGTAAAAAACAAAAATGTAAAGAAGTATCGAGCTCAAACATTTTAGAGGCATGAATCAGGAATTCTGCCGTCTTTGTACATTCTAAGATTGAGGAAATAGGTGAAATATTTTTGTGTTTTCCCCAACATGAGAGTTAGATTTCACGTGAAACATGGAAAGAACAAAAAGACAAACGCTTCATTGAAATCTGAGGCATTGGAATGAATTTGGAGATATCAGTGTTGATTTTGAGGGTAGCACAGAAATAACAAGATGGAC